AAATCGGTAAGCGGGCGGAACGCGCAAGCGAGTGGAACGCCCAACTCGTGACTTCCGCATTCCACCAAAACATAAGGCTTTTGATCAACGAAATCAACCACCAAAATGGCTATATCGTCAAAAGAACGTAAGGAACAAGAAGGCAGGATCCTCTTAGCCATTAAGGCTTTAAAAAATAATCAAATTCCGTCATTACGAGAAGCAGCGCGCGTTTTCAACGTTCCGCAAACCACCCTCTAGAACCGCGTTAAAGAAGTCAAATCACGAAGCGATATACGTGTCGTTTCGTGTAAATTGACTCTTGCAGAGAAGGAGACGTTGGAACAGTAGATTCTCTCCTTGGATAAGCGAGGGCTTCCCCCCAGGCCTTCCCATATTCGTGAAATGGCGTCTATATTGATCCGGAAACGAGGAGCCTCGCCGGAGGCATCGGATGAGGCTTTAGTAGGGCAAAAATGGGTATACAACTTTATTAAACGCCATAACTCTTTAAAGACATGTTTCTCTCGCCGATATGATTATAAAAGGGCCCTCTGCGAAGATCCGAAGCTTATTAAAGAGTGGTTCGACCGTGTTCAAAATGCTATATCAGAGAACGGAATTACAGATAAAGATATCTACAACTTTGATGAAACTGGATTCGCTATAGGCTTGGTGGCTACTGCCAAGGTGGTAACGAGGTCTGACTGCATAGACAAGCCGTTTCTTATACAGCCTGGAAATCGCGAGTGGGTGACATCAATTGAGTGTATTAACGCCTCGGGCTGGGCCCTGCCTCCGTATATCATCGTCAAAGGGAAGATGTATATGGAGGCCTGGTATGAAGGCAATGTGCCTCATTCTTAGAGAATCAACACCTCGCCAAACGGTTGGACGAGTAACGAGATCGGATTGCATTGGCTTGAACACCACTTTATTCCTTCAATTAAGAAACGGCGAGTCGGGAAATATAGCCTCCTGATTCTCGACGGACATGACTCTCATTTAACGCCTCGTTTTGATAAAATCTGCAGCCAGAATGGTGTTGTTCCTATCTGCATGCCTCCACATTCCTCACATCTTTGCCAGCCTTTGGATGTTGCCTGCTTCGCGCTGTTAAAGAAGGCATACGGTGGTTTGATTGAACGGCTAATTCGCCAAGGAATCCACCATATTGATAAGGTTGATTTCTTGAATACATTTCCCAAAGCCCGAGAACTTGCCTTTAAGAAATCGTCTATACAGAACGCCTTTTCAGCTTCCGGCTTGGTGCCTTTCCAGCCGGACGAGGTGCTTGGAAAGCTGATGTATAGCCTGCGAGAGATTACTCCTACTGGAAGTCAAACTACCACTTCTTCTATACTAAAAACACCTAAAAATACGAGGCAATTGAAGAAGCATGAAACTACAATCGAGAGATTACTGCGTGAACGTACACGAAGTCCTCCGGAGTCAATGAGAACTGCATTATTATATATCATCAAAGACTGCAAAATCGCGTTAAACAGGGCAGCCTTACTTGAACAGGAAAATCATGATTTACGGGCTGCAGACGAACACCAGACTAAGAAGAGGAAACGAAGTAATCGCCAATTGGCAGGCCTCGAAGGAGCTACAGTTCATGAAGCTATACAGCTTTTTCGCCGGGCTCGTGAGGAAGATGAAGCCTTGGGAATCCAACGGTCTGATTCTGCGGCCGGCGAGGAACAGCCTCGCCGGCGCGCGCCACCTCGCTGTTCTTCGTGTAATAAAGTTGGTCATATACGGACATGGTGTCCAGCAAGAGTAAAACACCAAGAAGAGGCAATTTGAACGGTGTAAAAAGGTTGATATTTGACTTCAAATTTGTATATAAAGCAGAATTACGAGTTGGGCGTTCCGCTCGCTTGCGCGTTCCGCTCGCTTACCGATTACGTTATCTATCGACGACTGCTGCTGACTAAACTGGATATCTGGGGCTTCAAGTGCGACTTATCACAACCAGCATGCCGTCAATGTCTAGGGCCGGCTCTAGATGCGACGGATACCGAGATGCCGAGAGCTATGTGACATTCCGAGATCAGACTGGCGAGACGGTGAGCAAGGCTTTCCCCCCGGCCCCCGGGAACAGCACGCTCCGTTCTGCGCTCCATGGCAAGGAGCGGGTCTCTGCATTATCCCATGGAGTTCAGCAAGTCGACCAAGGCCCTTGGCCCGCTGTCGCGGTACGACCGGAAGATCAGGCGCTGCGTTTCTTCTTCCACCATTACGTTGCGCGCGCGCCCGGGCGACCCCCAAGCCACCCGGACTGCCTGGGCATCATCTACAAGCGAGCAACTGGGCCGGGATACCTGGCTAGTCTCATCGTCGCCGTGGGACTAGCGAGCCTGGCGCATGTGCGAAATGCGCCCATGCTGGGTCATGCCGCCAGCCAGGCGGTTTCTCGCGCTCTTCGTGATATGCGTACGGCGCTGGCGGACCCCAGCAGCGCGGCATCCGACCAGATGCTGGTCACCGTAATGCTTTTGGCCTTGTTCGAGGTAGACTTTCCGGTGGCTCCGGACTCACTGGAGCAAGCTATTGACTAGACTAGACTGTCACTCCGGATGGTGATGGCAATGTGGGCTCATGGGACAGGCATGTAAGCGGTGCCGTGGCGTTGATCCATCTCCGAGGCGTCGGCCAGCTACGCAACAGGATCGGTCGAGGCATTTTTCTCCACGCGCGTACGGAGATCGTGAGTCATTTTCCCCGAGAATATCTTCATTGCATGTCCGTGCTGTCTGACTTCCCAAAACAGCTCCTAAATTGCCTTCAGCGCGGGCTACGGGTGCCAATCATATTACTCAACAAGATGAAGGAGGCCAGACATTACGAAACAGAGCACGAATCCCCCGCCTCCCGACTAGCAGATCTCGTTGCCGATGCTTGCGCCGTTCTAGCCTCCTGTAAGGACGGTAGCATGGACGCGCTGAATCTACCTCCATGTGTCTCCGCAATCCTTGCGGTTGATACAGACCTGGAACGCTGGTCCGAATCCCTCCCAGCAGACTACGAGTTTACAAACTGCACCCGTCAAAGCGACGTGCAACACGCCGAAATGTATCAGCTGGGTCGGGATGGTACGTACACCAGCGTTGACGTCGCCCACACATGGAACCTGCAGCGCTGTGCGCGCATCCTCCTCCACCAGGCACTTGTTGCGCTGTTATCACTCTCACTCCCCCAGCAGCCGTCTCCCCTGTCAGCGTCCGCACTGCAGCCCTCACTCGGACCACCATGCCTATACCTCTTGGATTCCTCGATATTGCTGATCCAGGAGCTTTCCAAGGATATATGCTCCAGCGTTCCATATATCCTCCATGCCTGCGACAAGGCCGGCAAACCACAGGACGGCCTACGCGCTGCGTCCATCGTGCCCCTGCTGTGGCCACTCTACCTTGCAGGAACATCTCACGGTCGCAGTGACGCTTTGCGCGACTGGGTCTTACAGAAGATGAAAGCCATTGAAAAGGAGACGGGGATTCACAAAGCGAGGCTCATGACGGCGGAGATCCGACGGCGATCTCCGTCGTTTGTCTTAACTTAATATGGGTCTCTGCTTGATCAATCCAGTGTAGAACCCGGTTCTTTTGCCTTAGACTTCAAATTGATGACTCTTTTCCTTCTCTACCCTGACCTCTCCTTGTATTGTCGAGCGGCGTAGTAGAGATATCGCGAAGCCGAAAACCCCCGAAGCGCCTTGCCGTACCGAAGAAAGACTACAAAGGCTAGCAGGATCGCAACCGCGAGAACTAGAATCGTGACGAAGGTATCTTTGAGCCCCACCTTCGCGACCCACGGCGAGAGCGCGAAGATGAACACCGTGCTGAACGTGTTGCGCGTGAGGGTTACACCCACGAGGGCGTCGCCGATAATCTGTATCGGGGTTTAGCGAGTGACAGAAGAGTGGGATGCTGGGAGATGTCTAGGAATCCACTTACATCTCTATACGAATCAGTCAGGTAGGTGATGGTGAGGGTGTTGATCGGGGTGACGCCGATGTTGTACAAGGCCAGCCCCACGGCGATCACCGGCCAGGGACGGTGATCACTGAGCCCCATGGCGAAGAGGGCGGCCCCGACCACGACGAACGGGAGGAAGGGGATCATGCACCACAGCCGCGTCTCGGGCTGGAAGATGCCGTGCCGGCGGCGAGCGAGATAGACAATCCACCAGTCACTCAGGGGGCCGACGATGATGGCCCCGATCGTGACGCCGATCATCCGCGGCAGACTCATGAGACCGACCTCGTACGTGGAGAAGTTGTAGGGCGCACGGGGTAGGTAGGTGGACATCGTGGTCGACATGACGTCGCCCAGGGCCACCAAGATCCCATACACTAGCGCGGTCCACGCGATCGCCGGGATGGTCGCCAGGATGATGAGCGGTTGAAACATGTGTTGGAAGAAGGAGTCCTTCGTGGCACCGGACGAGGTCGTGGGGGTGATCAGAGCAAGTCGTTGCCAGTATGTTTTCATCGGGATGTTAGGGTTGATAGCGGGCCTTGGGGTGATCTCGCGCAGGCTATCGTCCGCGGCCTCTACCGAGCCTAGCTCTCGAGCACTTTTATCGGTGTCGCTCTGACTCCTCTGGGTGAATGATTTATCGCCGAGATTCTTCGCCTTGTCTTCTATCGTGTTATGGTCCTGACGTTCCATTGCGCCCGACCGGTCTCCATCTGAGGGAGTCAGGTGCAAATCCGTCGTGGCGGAGTCACCCGGCCGGGGACAGAACTTGGTCTCTTCGTACCCAAAAGCGACAACGAAGATCGTCACTCCGCAAATAATGGCATTCAGCCACCAGATCCATCGCCACCCCAGACCATCGGCCACGAACCCGGCCACGAGGATCCCGAGGTAGGTGGCAAGCAGCCACGTCCAGACATACAGCGCATTCATCCGGCCCCGCTGGTGCACGAAGAACAGATCCGCGATGGTCATCTGCACAATGGTCTCGGCCAGACTCGCGAAGAAACATTGGATCACGTTGACGGCCATGAGATCGCCCACCGTCTGGATCCTGGCCGACCAGATGCAGATCCCAAACTGGACCACCGTGCTGAAGAGATACAACGGTCGACGGCCGAACTTGAGCGCAAACGGGATCAAGACGAGAGAGCCAACGGCTAACCCTGCACAGCCAGCTGCATAGCTGTCATTCATGATCTCGTCGCTGAACCCGAGCTGGGACTCCATGGGGCCCCATGTCGGCGTACTGGCGTTGATGAATTCTGCGACCATCGCAACGTAGAAGCAGACGAGTCCCATGTTCCAGTACTTGCGCCACGGGGTCCAATTGAGGGGATCGTTGGGGTCATCGGAAGGTCGTGGTTGCAGGTTGATGGTGGCATCCCCCGTGGACGGCGAGATGTCGGCAAGGTACGAGGTGCCGGGGGGCCACATGAGGGTGTGACTGCCGGCGGTACTGCCATCGGGAGCGGCCGAAGGCATTGTGGAAGGAAGAAAGAAAGATTCAATGGATGCTGAAAATTTCATGCTGGCGATTCCTGAACTTATATGGAACCGGCCGTTGGAAGGTGACAGGGATGGTGATACACGCCCACACCACGTACTCACATCCAGTATAGTTCGACTTATCCGAGACGATAAGGCGATAAGATTGGTGGAAAGTCCCGCTGGTTGAGAGGGGAAAGAAGCCGCCATCGGGCCGGTGCTCTTTTGCTGTCTAGTTGCAGTGCACCCTGCCAAAAGTCTCTGCGCAGTACTTTTGTGGCCACCGGCCATTATGAAAGCAATAGTACGATTGGACTTAGGCAACTGTTATCGTAAAAATCTTACTACTTGTTGGCTAGATAGTATGATTATTAGACACTGAAATACAGATATGTTCTCAACAGTACTGGAGTCGATACAGATAAGATCCCCGTCGGCCAGTTGATTGACGGGAAGTTCCGCCCATATTTGCTTGTTCGGTGTGCATTCCGATATCACCTCATCTCCAACCCCACGCCAGACCGCACGGAACTCGCCAAGTCCGGGCCACGTATAAATACAGCTTGCCGGCCCGAAACTTACCCCATCTGTGCGGATTCGAAATCAGAAACCGATAAGAATCGACAACATGAGACAAGACAACTGTCAAAGATTCGGCTTCCCCAAACCGACCGGGTACTCCATTTCCCACTGGCTGGGATCGGTGCAGGGAGATCCGCTGCTGAACCATCGAACCACCCCAGAGTTACCGCAGTCGGTAGATATCGTGATCATCGGATCGGGCGTGAGTAGCAGCTTTAGCCTTGAAAGTGCTTGCAGATTCTCGAATAGGTAGCTAAGCGCTGAATCCAGATGTCCGGAACCGTGGCTGCCAAACACCTCACCGAAACCTGGCCTGCTAAGAAAATCGTGGTCATCGAGGCTCGTCTGTTTTGCTCCGGTGCTACCGGTCGCAACGCCGGCCATTGTAAGCCAGACCAGTGGAGAGGGTTTCTGGAGTACGAGCGACAGTTTGGCACTGAGCAGGCCCTGAAGGTACCGGAGTTCTCTGTGTGCTGTACCGTACCGGGCGCTAATTGCGAATTATGCAGATCCTGCAGAATGAACAGCAGACATGGTCCGAGCTAGTACGCTACATTCAGGAAAACAATGTCGAGTGCGAACACTGGACTGGACCCACATTGGATGTTCCCATTACCCCCGAAGCCGCGCGCAAAGCCCGCACTACCTTTGAGCGGTACAAGGCCGCCGGAGGCAAGGTTGATCATATCAAAGTGACTCACGACCCTCAAGAAGCAGCGGAGGTTCGCACAAGCTACTTACTCCGTGTTAAGGGCATGGTTGACAAGATCCCAGATCTCCCAAATGAAAAATGCCCAAGCATGCTACGCGTGGCCGGCATCCACACTGCACCCGTGGAAACTGGCGGCCCATGTGATGCGGGAGAACATGCGGAGAGGCGTCAACCTGCAGACCAAGACCAAAGCTGTCGCGGTTGTTCCTTCTGAGAAGACGCCGGGTCAGTGGGTCGTGAGAACCGAACGCGGTGACATTGAGTGCGCACAGGTCGTCCATGCTACCAATGCGTATAGTTCCGCCCTCGAGCCGTCTCTTCGGGGCTTGATAACTCCCCGTCCCCAGATGTGCAATCGAGTTACGATCCCTGAGAGTGCTACGGATTTTTCCGGATTCGAGAACTCTTATGGTATTCTCCTTGGTCGGGACGACCTGATTAGCATCAATCCCCGCCTGAATGGCGATGGCGCCGTGCTGTTTGGCGGCAGCAACCCTGGCCAAGGGGAGTTTATGAAGTGGCTAGACCGAAATCCGGAGCGGTGCATTGATGATGGTATGACCGGGCATGACGCGATCAATAAGGCTGTTCAAGCGTTCGCGATCGGTGAAGTGAAGGGGTGGACCGCCGATGAATTGCAGCAACAAGAGCCTTACACGCATGCTTGGAGTGGTATCATGGGAATGGTGAGAACGCGATGATGCTAGACGTGAAGCTATCAGGACAGGAGCTAACTGGAGACCAGAGCGCAGACGGAGTGCCATTTGTCGGAGAGCTGCCTGGGCTTGCGGGTCAGTGGGTTTGTGCTGGTCACAACGGGCAGTAGGTCAATGCATCCCCTTTGAGATGAAGCTACGCTAACAGTGACCTCTGCGCTACCACAGTGGTATGGCTCGTATTTTCACCGCTGCAGCAGGCTTGGTCAGGCTGATGGCTGGGAGTTCATGGGCTGAGTCGCAGCTGCCTGAAGTTTTCCAAATCACGGTGGAAAGAGCTGAGCGGTTAAAAGAAGGCTGCAGAGCGTCAGCTGCGGTTGCCGCTCGGATTTGAATGGATGCACAATATCAAACGCCGCATAAAATCTCGTGTTCTGTACAATTGAGTTGACCCATAAGAGATGCACTAGATGTACGATCTACAACCTCCATGGTTGGAGATACAAACAAAGCTGCTTTCAAACATTAAGTGCTTCGGACCACTACCTACATTTCCGTAGATTGTCTAGCGTGCGGGGTACTTAATTAATTGCATGGTGGGTCTCAACTACCATTTGCTCAATTTGGTTATCTACTATGTGCGCCAGTGACAGCCCAGGTCAACCTTCCAGTCAGCGTAGCGGCATTTTATCTTTTATCTCTTCATCGTCACTCCAGGAGATCTTTTCACCCTCCCTACCCCGACGCCTGACCTGACATACCCTCCTTCCCCCAGTTGACAACGCACGCTCAGCAATACTGACAGCTGAAGGGCCCACATATGCGCCATGTTGCCCCAGAAGGGCCAAAAGACCCCATCGACTCGCTCCGCTGGACGGAGACCCTCGGGTTGCCGAGCCCTTCTCGCATGCGTGAAATGCAAGGAAAAGAAATGGAAGGCAAGTGGACTACACAACCTGTCTAGTGCCTCGAGCTGTTTTCTCCTGACCCGATAGGACGGAAGTGCGACAATAATCCCGCGGGGTGTAACAACTGTCTACGTGCTGAATCCGGTCGGTTATTTCTTCCGGTCGCTCGGTTCCTTCCTATTGCAAAAGTGGGTTTGATTAAGCTTAAATGATCTGACACATGAAAACAGTCTGCCTCGTAGAAGACCCCGTGACGAGGACATTTCGGCCACGTAACTACATCGAGATCCTCGAGAAACGAGTGGAGCTTTTGGAGAGCTTGCTAAAGGAACGCTGTCCTGATCTCGTCGTCAGCAGCGACCTATTCAGGCGTCATGCACCTGAAAGACAAAAGGCACCCACTACTTCCCCGCGGATACAACACATAAATAATCCTAATGCCCACCACAGTGTTGGCATGAGTTCACTCAAAGCGAGGGATGATTCGAAACGTGACGACGCTGTCGACAAATTGGAAGCAAAAGTTGGCCTATTGAGTCTCAATGCCGCGGGCGCAGAGCCTCAATATATGGGTTCGTCTTCGATCTTCGCCTTCTCGCGCTTGATCAATCCAACTCTTCGCCAGGTGGTATCCTCCGATCTTCCCACGGGTACCGTGGCTGATGGGGCGGAGAATCGCGTCTCTGTGTTACCGTCACCATGTCTATTACCCGATCACGCGTCTGCTGTCAAGCTCAGTAATGTTTATTTCCAGAATGTGAATGTACACTACCCCGTCCTACATGAGCCGACCTTTAAAACATGGGAGTCGATGTTGTTACAGGGATCGGCAGGGCAGGCAGATATTCATCCGGATTCTATCTCATTATTCTTCTTGAACATGGTAAGGTCGAACAGAGTCATGACTACCGAATGGGGATAGAAAGTGCTCACACTGGTAGGTATACGCTGTTGGGGCGTTGCTTCTGCCCCAATTGGGATTCTCAGCGGAAGTAAGCAGACGACCCCAAATGAAGAACGGAAACGCTCACTGACTTATCACTAGCGCCTGTATACATCAGCACTAATGTATATCGATGATATCCTGATCCATGATAACCTCGAAGCGGTGCAGGCCATCTTGTGCTGCGCCATCTACTCTGTGAGATCACCGACGGGGACTTCGCACTGGTACGGATCACGATGAAGAGAAAACGGGGAAGAAGATCGCATGTGCTTATGAAAGTGACAGGAAACTCGGCAGTCTGGCGCTGCGTCAGTGCATCGATCTGGGCTATCATCGACATACAAAGCACTTCTCCGTCCCCGCAGAAGATTTAGTTCGTCTTGAACTTCGCAAGCGGGTGTTCTGGTGCGCCTACGTGATAGAAACCCAGGCTGCCGTCATGTTGAGCCGACCGTTGAGTGTACCGTATCAAGAGGTTGACGCTGAAGTAGGTTCGAGCAGAACTCCCACCTTAACCAGCCCAAAAACGCTCCAACTGCGCTCCGTTTCTAACCATATATCGTGTTTAGTATCCCATTGACATTGACGATACGTGCATCACGAGCACAGGACTACTGGGCACGCCCCGAAGCTGCCCGCGAGAACCACCCACCAGCATGACGAGAGCGATCTACACCTTCCGCATACGACGACTTCTGAACCTCATCCACACCCGCCTCTACTCCAAGGCCGACCCAATCTGCTCCGGCAATCATAGCCACCAGACTGACGTTGCGAACATCCGCGCCGAGATCGAGAAGTGGCGCTCGGAGCTTCCGCCTTCGCCGCCCTCCCACGCCGAAGATGACCTGGCCTTATTCACGAGCGCCGACTGGTACGATCTGGAGTACAACTACACGATCTTACAGCTGTGTCGCGCCCAGATCCTTGACCCCCGGGCGGGAAAGGCGACCGAGGATGTCTTTCTAGAATGTCTTCGAGCCGCAGAAAGCATCTGCCAGAGCTACCGCCGGCAGTTCCTGGGGAAGCCGACGAGCTGTACCTGGGCGGCGCTGCATGAGCTGTTCCTGGCGGGGCTGACATATCTCCACTGCCTGTGGACGACCTCGTCTGCCGCGCGAGGAGAGGTCTCTGGCTCCGCAGATGCGGACAGCACCTGTAACGATTGCACGATCGCGTTGGTGATCATGGCGGAACGCTGGGATGTGGCGGCGCCGTATCGGGACATCTTTGTGGCCCTGGCGAGCCGGACAATGTCGATGTTGAGTGCGAAGGCTTGCGAAGAAAGATTATCCGATCGTGTAGATTCGGCTAGTGCCTGGGGTCGGGCGGAACAGGATGATTGCACGGAATGGATGAATATGGTCGCCGATGCTGGAGTGCTCAACGGCTCGAATGGGCTGTTGACTGGCATAGCGCGAGATTGATCTTTCCTTTCTACATCAAGGGCTCGTCTGCGCCACTCACCAATCCACGCCTCTCGTGAAGTTGCGCAACATAAACATTTTATGTCTCCAGAGAAACGTCCAGGGTAGGAAAGGTCCAAACATTTTCAGAGATTTCTGACTTTGAGAGCGTTACACGTGACTGCGTCGAGCGGGGGTGAGAACAAGCTCCTGAAGGATAGAGGGGTATTGATGACAGGGAGGGGGTCGAGAAATAGTCAAGTGATTTCCGACCCTTCGCAAGCTGAAATCAGCTCTTAGAAGCGCCATCTTTGCCCGGTGAAACAGCAGGAAGGGGAACATGTCCGGCGCTGTCGGCTAATCTTACCGAAGTACTAGCTGCCGCATAGTCTGGCCCGCCACGGCGCTAGTCCAGCTGAAAAAGCACGACGACGGAGCTGCAGTGCTGGCAAGCGGTATCGCCGGCCGAGCCGCAGAACACGTCGGTGAATAATGCGTGTGGGTGGCGAGACTGAAGCATCCCCTTGAGACATCACACGCCCACGCAAGCCAGCCATTGAACCTAACCTCGCTTATAGTAGTCGCGAGAGCTGCTAAGTTAGTGTCGGGAAATGCTACTCTGTACGCCTTCAAGAAGGTCACCGGACCATTCTTTCAGCTCGCCACAGGAGAGAAGGGTTGACAGGAGAGCTCAGTAGGGTCTAGACTCGAAAACGGTCACTCATGGCCTGGAGGAGTCTGAGGATAAAAGGGGAGAATTGCGCCCGCCTGTTGGGCTTTACAATCCCTCCTTTTCCTATCTCCTCAACACGACTGGGGTTGTATCTTTCATTTGGGCTTCGATTCTTTGATCACTCAACAGCACAATGAATCCCATGGCACAGGGAAACTCTGAAGATGGACCCTCGCGTCCGATGCGGCGGCTGGTGATCTGCTGCGACGGCTCCTGGCAGACCTCGAGCCACGGTCTCCGGAACGTGGCCTCCAACGTCGCCAAGCTGTCTCGGTCCATCGCCGGCTGGACCGACGAAGACGGAGAGTGCATCCAGCAGCTAATCTACTACGACGCAGGAGTTGGCACGGCCAACAGCGCCTCAGTGGTGAGCGAGAACATTCCAACCTGGCTCATGGCGAAGGTTCAGAAGTGCTGGGAGGGCGGCCTGGGACGTGGTCTGGAGGAGAACGTGTGCGAGGCTTATAACTTTCTGGTATGTTTGGAAAATTCGGCCCACCTCTACATAGGGCGATCGTCGGAACCTCGCCCAACCGATCGAGGAGTGCAAGTCATGCTGAGAATTCGGGTACCAGGTCAACAACTACGCCCCCGGCGATGAGATCTACATCTTCGGCTTCTCCCGCGGCGCGTACACGGCGCGCGCGCTGGCCGGGCTCATCTGCAACATGGGCATCTGCCTGCCGGACATGATGGATGATTGGTGGTCGATGTACGCGGACTACAAACTCAACTTCAAGCGGCGGGCGGCAGAGAAGAAGGCGAAGGAAGAGCAGTCGGGAACGCATTACATGAAGTCCTGGGGCAAGACGAAGCCCTACACGGACTGGAAGGAGCGGTTCCATAAGGAGGTTGAAATTGAGGTCGTCGGGGTGTTCGACACGGTGGGGGCGCTGGGGATCCCGACCAACGTGTGGGTGGACGTCAGCGAGCGCAGCGAGGCCAATTACGGGTTCCACGACACCAAGCTGCACAACCAGATCAAGCACGCCTTCCACGCGCTGGCCCTGGACGAGGACCGCGCCCCCTTCACCCCGACGCTGTGGAGCCGCCCGTCCGGGGTGACGACCAAGCTGGTGCAGTGCTGGTTCCCGGGCTACCACATCAACGTCGGCGGCGGCAGCGACAACACCGTCAAGAGCTACGGCGACCTCGAGGCCATGGCCAACCTCGCCCTCGTCTGGATGATCGACCAGGTCCGCCACCGCACCAGCCTGGCCTTCGAGGACCACGCCCTCGCCCGCTTCTACCACCACTACAACTGCACCATCGTCGACCTGTCGCGCCGCGGCTTCCAGCAGGGCAGCAAACACCACTACACGCACGCCGAGACGGCGCACTGGTACTCGTGGGATAACCCGCACGCCACGCACATCACCGGATACGGGGGCTGGGGCCTGGGGTATCGTCCCGACAGCTGGGGGGTGGAGACGGCGTTGGCAGGCGATATCCCCCGCACCCCGGGCCAATACGCCAAGGCCAACGCCGAAGGCGCCACGGATGAGTTCATCCACCCCATCGTGCGCTACGCGACGAGCGAAGCCCATCGC